GGCAATATCCCATTTTTTTGTTTTTTTTTTTTTTTTTTTTTTTTTTTTTTTGGAGAGGTTTTTGCTATAGGGCGCGTGCACTCGCCAGACAGAGAGAGACAAAGAGAGAGAGAAAGCGAGAAATCACCCCCCAGGGGGGATGGTCACGCCACAGTCCCTTCTCCTCCATTCTCCTCTCGGGATCTTGGGCACACACGCACACGCGCCTGGCGTGAGTTTAAGCCACCGGGTCGGGGATGCGAACCGCAGTCGACTATGTGGGAGTCCAGTGACATAGCCATTACGCTAACTGCTGGTCCCATATTCTCTTGCTTTTCAATGTTCCTTGATCTAAGAGCTTAGAAAAAAAGCTGTAATTGCTTGGCACCATGACTTAGTAAAGGAAGCTGCATCGTATATGGCTGGCCCTGTGGCTTGAAAAACACACCAGATGCCTGTTCATCTTTGTCCCAAATCTCAACAGAAGGGAGTAGTGGAGGAGACAGGATTGTGGCGTGGCCACACCTCACTGGTGTTTGCTTTCTTCTCTCCCTCTTCTTTCCTCCTCTGATCAGAGCATGCATCCTGTGGTGATTAAAAAAAATCTATTAGTGTGATGGTATCTATGTAAATTTAATGACAGTCCTACTGGGTTATGTTGAAGTAATTGTGAATCTGTCATTTATGAGTCTTTGAAATATTGGGAGTATTTCTTAAGCATTGTATGCTGTTAATCAGTACTCTTTTTTTTTAAAGAATTATTTATTTATTTCCATTTGTTATTGTTATTTTTTTCTTTATTTGACGAGAGAGACAGAGAGACAGAGAAGAGAAAGGGAAAGGGAGAAGGCAAGCCAGGTCCAGGACTTGAACCATGGTTGGCCATGTGGGAATCTAGCGTCCTTATCCACCATACCACCTGCTGGCCCCAATTATCAGTACTCTTTACTTAGCTTTATTTTGTCAAAATGTGGTGGGACAGTGTTTCAGTATTTGTAAAACATTTTGTTTTTCCTCAGAATTAATATACAAATCAGAATGAATTTTTTAAAAAATCGTTAAGCTCAGATTTACTTATGAAGACGGATGGTATAGTGTGATATGTGTGTGTGTGTGTGTGTGTGTGTGTGTGTGTGTGTGTATCCTAGAAATAAGGTAACCTGTATGTCAGGTAATTATTTGTTATATCTGTATTA